CTTTTTTATATAAGATAATTTTAAGTTAATTTTGAGCAATCTGTAGTTATTATTTAATATTTCACCTTTTTGATTTTTTAATGGAGAAAATTTAAATTTAATTTCTTCAATAGTATTAGGCTCCAAATTTAGAGGTTGTGTGTATTCTAAACTGTCCAAAAATAGGATTGAATTTAGCGTTTCCATAACTAAAAAATCCATAACTCGCCAATCTTTATAAATCTAAATATAAAAAAAATCTACTTAATATTTATGTACATTTATGTATATTATATTTAAAAATTATAGTACATATGCTCTAATTCTGATATTTCTTTTCTTAGAAGAAAATCGTAATTATATTTTACGAAAACTGTTAGATAAAGAGATGTATATTTTCAAAACAATGTTTAATCATAAAATAAAATAAAATGCATTTGTGAACTTTATTATCAAATTTTTACCTTATCAGCAGTGTAGTGTTTGAAATATTCCGCAAGTCCTTCATTCATCCATATATAAGTCCACCAGGAAGGACTGACAACATTACCAAACCATTGATGGCTCGATTGATGAATGATATTGTTTGCAATTCTATACAATTCATTGATTGAACTTCCCTCTTCATTGTACAATATTGTAGCTTCCCTATAGATAATATAATCGTAATGTATATACCAAATGTATGTAAAAGTTTATTTCACAAATATTCTAAAATAATTTGACACGTTATTTTATATCATCAGTATCATTAAAATTCTATTTTTTAAATATGAAAATATGTAAAAATATATAACATCATCAAAGTGGAGACTAAGAATATATTTTTGCAGATTTAATACTTTATATACAGAAAAAATTTGCGATATTGTAGAATAGTACATGTTTATACGTTATGAAATATTCTATTCCTTTATAATGTTATGATATAAGAGTTTTTAACTGTAGAAAATTAATGTAATACGATTTCACATATAAATAGATTTTTCAATTCATACAAGCATTTATGAGATATCACATCACCAATATTTGATGTATTGCCATACCTTATTTTTCTGCAAACGTGTTATTGCATTTCTACGCACGTATCATGACATTACCTGTAAGTGATAAGCCCCCAACTTTCCATGTCCTTATTGTATCCAATAACATATCTGTCAGGAAGCGCAACATGATCGATTTTGGCCAACCGAACGGAACTGTTGGTGTATCGTTCCAATTCGATCGCCGCCTTCTGGGCGACTTCGTGGGCGAAACTTGCTGAGGAAATTACACTGCCTCTGCTCCAGACGTTGATGGTTCCATCGGAATTGCTTATATTACGAAGATCGAAGATTAGGAAACTGACTAGATACGTTGATATGACGGGCGATTCTTCAAAATGTGTCCATATCTTTCCGTCACTCTTGTCGATTTCCGATTCTTCGGAAATCGGCATGTTCGAAATAGCCGTGTAATTACGATGATGTTTGATGGCAATCTTAAAAGAGGCCTTTAGTGCCGGCTCGTCCCAACAGGGAAAAGCAGCACGTGCGTAAGTTGCCATGAAATTCGTCCCGGCAAACCATCTGTTAAAATTTCAACTGTTATATATTATATTTTTAAAAACAATGATTTATTTTTATTGTATAGTGTTCTTATTAAAATTTATTTACTTATAAAGTATTTACTTATATAAAGTACTAAGATTTTGCTTATTAATTTATTTTTTATATATAATTTGGAAACCGATAATGAATGATTTTATACTTACACTATATCTTTTGTGTCATTAACATAAGAACTTCGGTAGAATCCATATGATCTGTCGTTTAATATACCAGCAAATTTCAGATATAAAATATAATATCCAATAGATAGTTCCTTGTCAAAACCAAGAATTAAAAATTCGGTTATATTATTACTGTTATATGTAGTGGGAACGTAAAAGTCAAATCCAGTATTGGTTTTCAGAAAAGATGCGTTTTCATTTATTATCAGGTTCTTTGCATGCAGCGTGATAGTTCTCGTCTGGTTCAAAATCTCAATATGGATGAGTACTTCGCCATCAAATGTAAAGTTGTCTGACGTAAGATGCGGGTTTAATTTAAGATCATAGAATAGAGGTTTTGTGTGATTAGGTAGCCGATAATTTATTTCCTTATCATTCAGATTTGCATCTTGAATGGCAGCGGCGTCTATTGCGACGAATGCAAAGACAATGTAGATAATTTTGCATGTCAGCATTCTGAAAAAAATAGAAGAATTAGTTTAAATTTCTTTTAAATATTATCGATAGATTTCGTTCTAATTAAAAACCCACAACAAACATAAAATAAAAGAAAGTCTCTTATACGTCGTTATTATTATAAATTTACTGTCTTGTCACTTAAATAAATGCTAATTATATTTTGGTATCAATTTTTACATATTCGGATCAGTTTAATACGTAACTTAAATTTAAGCAATTTATACTTAAAAATAATAAACTATAATTTAATAAAATTAGAACTTTTATTTGTTCTTCTCCATATAAAATATTATTTTTAAAAATATAATTATATATATATATAT